GCTCACTGGCTGAGCGTGGTGCGGGTGGAACACCGAGGGTTGCGATCCCGTTACCGGTCAGTAAAAAAAAAAAAAAAGACAAAAAAAAGGAAAAAAAAAAATTCATGGAAACATTTGTATTACCTTTTAATTCTATTTTTCCATGAACTTTTTGGAGCACCCTCATACGTACCTGTTTCCTGGCCCTCAGATAGTTTTATGCTCCTAGGGAAGTATTCCCCTTACCCTGCCATGAGAATCACTGGGCTATTGTTTTTCAGAATTTTTCCTAGCAGTGAGACAAAAAATGGTTTTCCTGTCATCGGACTTCTCTCTAAGACAGCGTTGAGCTACTTTGTGTCTCTGTGTACACCTACAGTTTGTTTAAACATGTGTGCTTTACATATATGTGTGTCATTAGCAGCCATTCTTTAAAGGGGTTTGAATCTAAGTAGAATCTTCTGTCCTTTTGGTCACTCATGCTGTTGTTCAGTGAGCAGCCTGGTTGTCCAGGTTGCTGATTCCAGGCTCCTGGATCTAAGAATGGTATTTTTGTAGCACACTGAAAAAATTTCATAGATACCCAAGACTACATTCCTGTCAACTTCTTCAAGAGGAAAGTTGCAGAATAATGTTCATGGAAAAAATAAAGGAATCATTCAATAAATAAGTAAATGAAGAAAATAAATAGTACAGGTTTCTGATGTAATCTTTTTTTGTAAAAAAATTAAAAAGTAGGTGTATACGTCTGTATTTGCATGTATATAAGTGCATCACAGAAGACCAAGGGAAGGTACAGTGTTTAATTTTGGTGGGATTATAGGTTTCTCAAAATTTTCTTTTTTAAAATTTCTTTATAATAAGAAAAAAACCCAATAGTTATTGGGTTTTTTATAATAAGAAAAAAACCCAATAGTTATTATTATTTTTAATAACTAAAACAAAAACAAAAAAGAGAAGCCAGGTAGGTTGACCGCAGTTTTAGGGGAGGGGCTGTGCAGGTGTGAGGCCCCCCTGAGCGGGCTGTGCCTGGCACAGGGCACAGCACACTGGCTCAGCCTGGGCCTGGCTCCGGGACACCAGGTTTGGCTGTTCAGACCTGTTCACGTGTTCCTGAGGCTGCTGGGTGCAGACACCTTCCTGCTGGCCTGTTTTCTCTTCCAGTGGATAGAAGCTGTCGTTCAAGTCCATTCAGCCTACTTTGTCCAGCGGTGTTGGAGGGTGGGAAGGAGCCAGGTTTGACATTGTTTCTGTGCCTCTTGGGTGCTGAGCATCCCTCCACACAAGGCTGGTGGCCCACGATGGTCTTGCTGTGCCTGGGCATGGGAGTATCCACATCCACAGGCCTTCCTGCATCAGCTGGCAGGGCAGCCAGGCTCCTGCACCTGCCTCTCCTGGAGCCAGCAGACAGTGCATCAGCACGAGCCACTCTGAAAACAGTGTGGAAATTCCACCCCGGGGACCTCTGGGAAGGAGCAGCCCTGAGTCCATGGCTGGCTTGTGGCCACAGCAGAGCCTATTCAGTGGGAACGCTGATGACCTGGCAGCTGAGGTGACCTCCAGCTTCTCGCTGTGGGCTGGCATGGGAGACACAGCTCTTTGTGGTCATTCATCAGCCAAGCCATCAGCTCCTTGGGGCCAGGGCTGGTCCTCGCTACTTACTTTGGGGGCTGGGCACAGGAGGCAGGAATGATAAGTCACAGGGGTGATAGTCACCACAGCTGTGTCTTTTCTTGCAGAGAAAGTCTACTCATGTGACCAGGAGAGGCAGAGTGCCCTCGAAGAGGCTCAGCAGAATCCCCGTGAGGGCATTGTCATCCCTGAGTGTGCCCCTGGGGGGCTCTATAAGCCAGTGCAGTGCCACCAGTCCACTGGCTATTGCTGGTGTGTGCTGGTGGACACGGGGCGCCCACTGCCTGGGACTTCCACACGGTAAGCCCACCCAGAGCTGTCCTGCACCTCAGGCTGGATCCTAGGACAAGAGGACAGCTTCTTCTTACGTGGTATCTCCTGGCTTTTCTGCCTTGGTTGGGTGGAGTCAGGTCACAGGAGAGCAGCTTTTCCATACATGAGCAGATGAGGTTCTGGTAGAAAGGCCCTGGGACCTGTATCCTGGTCACAGAACTGTCCCTTTTTAGCTGTGGACCTCAGAAAAGTACTCAGCCTCTCTGAACCTGTTTCCTGATGAGAAGATATTGCCTTCCCTGAGTCACTAGGTTCTATGGATCAAAAACAATCCCGTATGCAGATCTAAGGTGACATCATTATCATGCATCAATGGTTAAAATGACATGCCTGAACATGTCTCAATGGGAACGTTTATGCAGGGCTTGCCTTGTAGCTGCTGGACGGTGCAGGGAATATTTTGCTGCAAACTGTGGGCGCTCTAGGCTTAGTGACAACACAGATCAGACATGCCTGAACATGTCTCAATGGGAACGTTTATGCAGGGCTTGCCTTGTAGCTGCTGGACAGTGCAGGGAATATTTTGCTGCAAACCGTGGGCGCTCTAGGCTTAGTGACAACACAGATCGTTGCTGGGCAGTGGGGGCTGAAGGAGGCTTAGGTGCCAGCCCCTCCCAGCCCTGTGTATCTCTCTCTTCCCAGCTACGTGATGCCCAGTTGCGAGAGTGATGCCAGGGCCAAGAGTGTGGAGGTGGACGACCCCTTCAAGGACAGGGAGCTACCAGGTGGGAGACGTGTTGCCCCTGCTGGTGACTTTGCCTCTTCCCCCTCCCCCCCATCCTGCAGAAGCAGCTGCCTCTTGTGGGGCTGTTTCCCTGTCTGTGAGATGGAGTGGGGATGCCAGGCAGGGGCGTCACAGGAGCACGGAGCCAGGAGCTGTGGAATCTACCTCCCAGTCTGGGATCTGTCCCTAATTAGTCCTGTGCCCCTGAGCACATGGTTTCTCTTCCTTTGCCTCTTTGTCTCTTGTGTCTTTGTCTTTAAAATGTACTCACTGGTTTAAACTCCTGTCCCTTCAATTCTATAGTTCCTTCTTTATCTGAGGGTGATTGGAACAGTGTTTTCGGGGCTGTGGACCAGTTTTTCGAGGGCCAAGAAGAGAAGATAGTTTACGGGGAGTGGCTGTCCTGAGGGGTGTGAGCAGTGTCAGTTGCCTGCCTTGCAGAGTGTTTTCACAATGATCTCTGGTGACACAGGATGGCCATGGAGTGTGGCATGAGACATGTAGGTAGGGGCCCAGGACTTCAAACTGCTGTGCGGGGTTCCCCTTATTTATGGCAATTTCTGCCTGCGAGTCACAATGAGGTTACTAAATATCAGTGGCTTGGAATTCTGTAGTCTTTACTCAGCACAAGATCGGATCAGTGCTGGTGGGAAGTAGGGACACCTTCCCACGACCCATTGGGACTCCGAAGTAAAACAAACTGAAAGCAGAGTGTCCTGAAATGCAGGGGTTTTCCTTGTGAGGTTTGTAGAAATCACCCTGCCACAGGAATGGAGTTGTGGAGGCCAGAGCACCTCCTTTCAGCTATTCTCTCAACAAATGTGAATTGAGATTCTACTTTGTGCCAGGCACTGGGTATGATCTAGTGATCAAAATTGGCATGAACCTTCCAGAGTGGAGGAGACAGAATGTATACAAATGGATGAATGCATGCATATGTAAATAGTCGTGACAGGTACTCTGAAGGAAAAGAGCAAGGCACTGTGAGGATGACAGGGACGACCTGCTTTGGATCCCATGGCTTCTCTGAGAATGTATGTTCAGCTTGAGACCTGGAGGCTCTGGAGAGAGGAGAGAGTGAAGGGGATGCCTCAGAGAGTAGGACCGTGGTATTGCTGAGGGCCCATTGGTGCTGGTGATCATGAATCTATAGGAACACGCACCTATCCAGTTGTGTGGTGGTGTTTCCCCAGATATACTCAGATACATGGGTGTAGACGTGGAAAAGGCAAATCTATGAGAAGATTCATCTGCGCTTGGGGTTTTGCTGGAATAGTGCAAGAGGAAAAGAGGACCAAAGGACTTGGGAGTATTTACAAGGGAGGTTCTATAAATATAATCTAAGCTGGATTAGAGAAGTGAAAAAGGAGGAGGTTCTTGGATAGATAAAGTGGTAGGTCCACTGAAGTCAACTTTGGCCATCGTGAGTGCTCTCCCTCCTGGTGCTCCCACAGCACTGGGTTCTTATCCTAGGGTAGCGTTTTTCACACTCTGGGATGACCGCCTAGCCATTGGCTGGAGTTTCTCAGTATACTGTGAATTTCAGGGAGAAAGGGACCCTGCGTGTTGCTCACTGTTGTATCCTTAGCATTTATTGTAGCACCTGAGTTGGTACTCAGCAAAAATCTGTGGAATGGAAGAAAATTAAAAGCATTGTTATTCATTTGGTCTGATGGTCCCTTGTGGGCTGTGGGTAGAAGAACTGTGGAGGTGTATGAAAATCATCTGAGCAGTGAACAAATCCTAAAAGTAAAATCTGACTGGCCAAGAAGGACTTTCAGAGGATCGGGAAAGGATGGTAGTCGGGGAAGCTGTTACTTAATTATTTACCCAGCATCTGCCTTCAAATCTCATTTTATCTTTTAGGCTGTCCAGAAGGGAAGAAAATGGAATTTATCACCAGCCTACTGGATGCTCTCACCACTGACATGGTCCAGGCCATTAACTCAGCAGCGCCCACTGGAGGTGGGAGGTGAGAATGTGAGCAGGACTCAGGCCCAGTAGGGAACGTGGGGCCCTTGACTTTTCAGATGCTGAGGGAGGCTGGTGGGGG